CCCCCCCCCCTTTCCCCTCCCCTTCTCCTTTTCCCTTTTCCCTTTGGTGAGGCCCCAGACGGCCATCCTCCAGACGATACCCCTCCCACCTTCTGCCTCTTCACCGCTGTCCGCTACACGTACCTGGTGGTAGGGGCTGTAGGCTGCTGCGAAGTAGGGCTGGCCAGGACCGTAAACTTGGTACATAACATCCAAACAGCTCATGGCTGGCCGGGGCCGAGAAGAATTTTTCTTCTCATCAACTCGTGTTCTGCAAAGTGGAGTAATGCTTCGGGGGAGGGAGGTTCCCGGGGGTTAAGAGGCACCACGCGCTGGTGGGAGGAGTGAGGGGGGATGAGGCCGCGCTGGGCTGTGCTGACACCCCCTCCCTGCCTTCTTTCCCGGCCTTCCGTCCTTCCTATAGCGTGGCTCCCTCCCGCAAATTCGCCGGGACTGGAGGGGCTCCCCGGCCACCGGGGGAATTTCAGCCCCGAGCCCGGCGGGTGGCAGAAGCGGAGGGAGCAGGGAGACCCCCGTTCCTCAGCCGGGACTGCCAGGGAGCAGCGGGGCGGGAGGCGCAGGGGGAGCTCCGGCCACGCTGGAGCCTGGCGGGGGGAACGGGGGTCGGCGAAGATGGGGGCTTACCCAGCGGGTCAACCCATCTCCCGCTGCTTTTTTTAAATTTCATTTATTTCGTTACATTCCACGCGCCTCCTGTGCCGGGTGCTGCTCCCGGGGAGGATGTCCCTGCCGACCCCCACCTCGTCGGCCTCCGCTCCTGGCCCGGGCGAAGTGGAGCTCCGGGAAAGGCACGAAACTGGGTGACCCCATCCAAATCCCACCAAGTCCGGCGTCCGCCGGAAAATGCCACCACCAAAACCAGAGGAGTTGAGAGGTCTGATAAACCGAAGGAGGAAAAACCAGTTGCTCCCGAGGAGGAATCTCCCCAGAAACTTTTGAATCATTACAAATCCCGGGAACGGCGATGCTTTTGCACTTAATAGAAACTAAAACAACGCCGAGGGCAAAGTCATGTCAAAACAACAAAGTATCGTGAAGGTAAACTGGATTTACTCCCTGGCTTTCTGCTGAGTACGACACGCAAAGTTGTAAATAGCTGAATGTATCTTCACTGCTAATTTTAAAGGAGTTGCATAGGAGGCAAATTATTTTTTAACAGAGATGTAAGTTCTCATTTCAATATCAACTCTTTGAAATGTTCAACTTCATGGTACGGGTCACAACCACTGTGAGAAGAGACCCATTTTGTTTTGATTTAAGCACTGGTAATGAAGCAGAAAAAAAATATAGAAAATACAAGAGAAAGAATATTGCTCAGTTTTCAAATGCTGATTGGTTACAAAACTATTGGGGAAAATCTGAAAAGAATGAACACTTTGAATTTTGAAGACCTGGAAATATTTAAACTAATTTTATCACAGACACATCATAGTTAAAACTAAACATTTACTCTATTTTGTTTTCTTCAAAATGCAATTTTTATATTCCAAATGCTAGAAATTGTTTTGAATGCCTGTTGTTCACCAAAATCATATTTCAGTGCCTGATGAGCATATTTCAATGTTTTCTGCACCAGGTGCAAGGTTTAAAAGTCATATTTAAACAAGTTTCTTTCTCCCTGTTCTAGTTTGGGAAATTAGTTTTCCATACTGCAGTGCAGTCTGAAACACTGTGGCTGTGGGTTCTGCCTCAGTGTTGCTCCTTCCCCCATCACAGTCAATTTTGTGTAGGTGGACAAGAAAATGAGGGATGACCTCTGGGTATTAGGCTTTAAAATAAGAAATGTAACTTGTATTCTATAATTTTATTTCTCCTGAGCAGTAAGCAAATAGTCACAGTAGTGGGAAGGACTCACTCTGTGGCCGGTGTCCAAATTAAAGCAGTCAGCTAAAGAATAGCCCTTCCCTCCTCACATTGAGAGACTGAGGAATCTCACTTGGGACATCGGGATCTCACTTCTCCTCTGTGTCCTGCTTGTGAGGGGTAGGGAGCTTTCCCAGCACACACAGACCTGTGCCTGTTTCACAGGTAAGAGTGTGCTGGGCAAGGTACCAAAAAAAGCCCATTTCTCAGAGGGTAAGTCCAATTAACACCTGCTCCAAAGACACAGCATGCCTTCCTGCTCTTTGGAGCAGCCCTTCGCCAGGACTCTGTGCCATAGCAAAGGTAGGACCTGACACTGGCCAAGGCTCAGCATTCACTTGTGTGGAAAAACCCAAAGTGTAACAGCAGCATGTGTGACTGGGTGCTGAAATGTGGCAGATGGTCTAGCTTGTGTGTACCCTGCAGAATCTCTCCTTGAGGGCTCACTTCAGGGGTTTTACCTCACTCTCAGGTATATGCTAGGGGAATCAGGTCTGATGTGGCTTGCAATGAATTAGATCTCTTTTACAGGCAGTTACTCGACTGTAAACCTGTGCAGTGTAAGACACAAGTAAACTTCAGTATCTTAATGCAGAGCAATAAAAACATTCATGCAAAAATGCTGGAAGTATTTTGCCTCTTTGGTGCATCTGTGAAATTAGTCCTGGTATAGGAAATGATCCTGGAAACCAAGGGTCAGAAACTATATTCACTAATGATCTCACTGTGTATTTACAATTATATAAAAACAGTCTTCCATGGTCCTAACTAAAGAATTTTAGGTGGGTTGAATCACATAAGGAATTACAAAAATGGAAAGAAACAGCTGTGTTACCTCAGAGAGAAAATTATGACAGCAGTAAAGGAAGCACAGTTTTAGAAAGGACATGGGTTAAGAACTGAATGTGTACCATTGCAGCACTGGCATGGGCCAACTCCTAAACCACACACTTGTAAATATTTCACAGCAGTAATGTGAAAAGAAAATCTTGTTAGGAATAAAAAATGATTGGTTCTGATAAACAGCAAGATGCAGAAAGTTACAACTTGCCTCAGAAAACATTCCTATAAAACAAGTAAGTGTTATCTTCTAACTAAGCTGGAACTTTTCACAAAACAAGAATTGGGTACTGCTTCAGAGGGTTCACCAGACAAGCAACCAGATCATGAAACAAAACATCAACTTTCAGGAAGACTGTGACAAAAACATGGTAGCACTGACCACATTTGTTGCTCACCTTCCCTACATCCTGCATCCAGTGCTAGCCTGCCAGCCCCTGGTGTGTGAAGGTTTGAGCACTGAGTATTACGTCCAGTTAAAGGATTAAGTATTTATCATCCAGAAGGGGCATTTCTGGTTTTTCTATCGTACCACATATAACTTTCTTGCTGTGCACAATATACTTCTTCAGAAGCTCAGGGACACTTTCAGTTTCCAGTAAGGCATGCTTTTCCAAACAGAAGGTACCACGAGGTGGGTGGAGAACCCAGCCCTCTGCAGCCGTTTGCCACGCTGCTTAGCAGCCTTCAGTGTTTTTCACTTCCAGCTTGGGCTGGCTTGGCTTCAGCCTCCAGCTGTTGGTTCATGTAATGCCTTAGTTCACTTATCTAAACAGTCCTTTTGTATGTAATATTTTCTCTTATGAAATTGATTTTATTCCATATAATATTTTTTCTGCCAAAATAGATGGAGTTCCTTAACTTTCCTCAGCAATTCTTCTAATAGTTTTTGTACCATTTATTTGCAACTAATGCAATTTTTAAACTTTGTTTTAAAAATATTGAGGCAAGAATTTGTTATTTTTCCAACATTGCTCTTTCTGAAGGCATAAATGAATACCTTCTTTGCAACTGATGCTTAAAACTGTTGCCATAACACAATTTTAATGTGTTATGTGATGTGATGACCACTGTATTTTCAGTTTTGGTACTACAAGTACATGAAAAACATGGACTGTTTGGTGGTGAGGAGACAACGGTATTGGGAGCCTCCTGGAATTTCTTCTAAACTCTTAGATATCTGACTGAGATTGCATGTAACTTGGCTGAAAAATGTGATGATCCCATGTGAGCCTATGACACCTGCTCACAATGCCTTGTACAATCATCCTTTCTAAGACATTTTCCATCACTTATCTTCCTTGGTCATAGATGTGCAACTCTTCAAACAGGTCCATTCATGTGCTGTTCATGAGAATGCCACAATACTCAGCAATAGGCTCAGGTGTTGCCAAAAGTCCTGAGTCTCACTTTACTCACCAATCTTCTTGTTACTATGTTACCTGCTAAATTTATTGGTGTGATTTCATATCAACTTTCAAGCTACAGATGATCATCTTGCACAGTCCACAAATATTCCTATACAGTGTTCATATACTGTACTCCTATGTGGTAGTATTTGTATTTCTAAACGCAGGAAGATTGTTTGTTGACTTGTTTCTTGTATTTTTTTTGTCTATTTGCTGTGTGTACCACTTTTATTGTGCAGTGCCTCCTCCAAGAGATGATAAATTCAGTTTCACTGGTCTTCTATTCCTGCTCTCTACGTTACTCTCTAATGTCTCAATCTGTCTGTAGGACTCAGCACATACTCAACTTTCAGCTGAATGCACTACTTGTGAGTTTACATGGGTCAAATTTGGCTGGAATGAATTAAGATGGATAATACTGTTCCTCTTTCGTATCTTGTTAGTCTTTGTGATCCACATCCCTAAAAGCTTTTTGTTTTTTTAGGGCTTGGCAACTGTTACCATGGTGTTCTCAGGGATGTTTTTGAGGTCCAGCCTCTGGGTCTGTTTTAATGCAGAAGACTTTAGGCTCAAGAGCTTCTGGCTTGGTAGTTTTTGCGGATTCTGAATTAACTGACATTAAAGATAAAAATCAGTATTATAAATATAGTAAAACACAAAGTAAAAATCAAGGGACACATGACACAAATCACTGACTCCATTGTCTCCTTCACTGTCCTGAAAAACCTGTGTTTCAACCTCAGAGAGGTTATAGTTAATTCTGATCTTCCTTTGAAGGTATGACTTTTCCTCCCCTTTTCCTTTCTTTCCCCTACACCTCCAAGAACTGGCTGTTAGCTGCTAATTAACCACACATACGGACACTGTTTGGTGCACATTTGCCCATGTGACATGCTGTGCAGCAGCTGGAATGTACATGGTGATTTTTACTCCGTGATGTATTTCCAGGGGAGCCGCAGCCCAGCTCAGGGTGCAGCATCTGGCGCGTGTCACTCACCCGTCCTGCCCAGCCCTGATGGGCCAGAGGCATCACCTGTCTCTCCTCTACTGATGGCGGCAGATGAAGAGATCATTATGCAGGGCTGGAAGGGAAACCCAGAGCTGTCATGAGGGAATACATTCACACGCCTGAGAACACACTGAATGCATTGAATTTAGGGCTTGATTTTGCAACAGG